ACAGCAGCAACTTTCTTGAAGGAGTCCATCTTAATCCAGGGCATTGGCTGTCTCCTCCTGATAACATATTTTAAGGTCTTACCTGGTTTAATGTAAGGGCTAGGGAAGTTTACCTGTGTTGCAGCTGAATGTAAGAATTTACCTACATTTCTCTGCGTCCGTTTCTCATTCTTTAGTGCAGCCCTCTGTCAGTATTTTAAACCTAATCCAGGTCAGTAAGAGTCCAAATATTAGTGAATGCATTATCTGTGCCTTTTGAGCATTTTTTTATCTCAGAGAAATATCACAGACAGCACTGAAGCTTCTTTTTTGCAGCCAGGTTCTGCTACAAAATAAAACAACTGAGACCTTGTCATCTTGCAATGAATCTAAATTTGGCATGAGAGACCTCAGTGCAATGGATCTAAATTTGGCATGAGAGACCTCAGCGGGGGACAAGCACTAAGAGAGCTCAGCTGCTGTCATTCTTCCTTAATAAGCACTATGCACCCTGCCCCGTCATGTTCCAAAGGGAACCAGCCAAAGTTCAAAAAATTCACCTGGTTTCTGCCTTCTCTGAAGGGCCCTCTTTTCATGCTCAGTGTAGGTGTATGTCTCTGCACCTTTTATGTGAAAGGAAGCACAACTCTCTGCCCACCAGGAAAAATTTTAGTACTAGTTATTAGAATTGGGCAGACCTGAATCAGATTGGAAATTCACCCCACTCTACTCCCACCCCCAGAGGAAAGTGAGCAACAATACAGCACAAGTCCAGCTAACCCTATCTGAATCTACCTCTGTTACTCAGCCCACAGCCCCCTTCCCAAATCTTCCTCATTAATAGGCAATAAGGTGAATCACTATTTATTGAAAAGGTGATTACTGCTCAATTTGGTCCACATACTTGCTACTGATTCCCATGGACTTTTCTCAAATCCTATTCATCAGCCCATAAGGCCCTCATACTTCATCTTTGAAAAAACCATTCCAGTCTCATTGCCAAAACTGTCAAAGACTACAGAGTCTGAGATTCTACTATACTTACAAGGTAACATGTTAGCCTGACACAGTTTTGTTGATGCTACCAAAAAAAAAGCTTTGTGACTCAAAGCAATAACAACGGCCAGAGTGTCAGCACTGGCTCTGGTTTCCTGAGTTCCACTTCCCCAGGCCATGCAGACTGGGCAGGGTTATGGCTGCACAGTCAGTGGTTGCATTACAAGGAAGGAACTGGGATGTTAGGAAACCTGGATATTTTATAAGGGACTAGAGGCCCGGTGCAGGGATTCGTGCACTGGTGGGGACCTGACCTGTGCCCTCTCACAAACCAGGACCCCTCGGGGATGTTGGACTGCTGGTTTTGGCCCGAGCCCTGCAGACCAGGCCAAGGGACCCCACTGGTGCACAAATTCGTGCACCGGGCCTCTAATATGCATATAGGATCTTTGGTTAATCTCTTCCTCCCCTCCCCACTTCCCCTATCCCTCTGAGATTCATCAGTCTGTTCCATGTTTCCATGCCTGTGTGTTGAGCATCTGCCCCCTGGTGGTCAGTGTGCATCATAGCTACCGGTCGAATGGTCCAACAGTCAGTCGCTTAGGCTTTTATATATATAGATGATATGCTGGCTCTTTGCTCCACAGGTAGACACTGAATTTTCTAAGGCTATTTGCTGTACAAATATCCTTGAAAAGAAAGTCCCAAACAAAGAGAGTAGGGTCTCTTCTTGAAAGACATGTAGAAGCACAAAAGAACATAAAGAAATACCTTCTGAAAGAAACAACAGAACTTGCTATTGGATTGGATGTGTGGGCGTAAAGGAAATGGCAAAATCAAGGATGACTCCCAGGTTTTTGGTTTGTACATTGGAAGCCAGTTACTCAAATGGAGACATTTGGGGGAATGAATCAAGTTTTTCTTGCAGATTAATTCTGATATGTCTATTATATATCCAAAACAATATGCCAAGATGGAAGTTAGATACATAAGTCTGGATGCCCAGAAGAAAGGTTGAATCCGGTAATAAATACCTGAACATCATCGACATAGGAGGTACTTAAGCCATGGAAATGGATGAGAAGGTGAAGAGGGGAGTCCAAAACTGGGGTATAGGACACTCCAGCACTTAAAGTTCAGGTAGGAGAGAAAAATTCAAGACAAATAAGACAAGGACCAGTCAGTGAGGGAAGGATGTATCCAGGAAACCAAAAAGAAGGAAGAGATTAACCAACTCAAGTGTTGCTAGGAGTTTGAGGAAGGTGAAAACAGAGCAGCCTGGGGTATACAAAGAGACAGAACACAGAATTATACATTAATACAGGCTTTTACTAGTGTGACTTATTGAAGAAACTGGACAACTAAAACTATAAGGCTAATACCTAGCCTTTGTAAAAATATTAAAAAATGTCAGATTTAAAACAGGTATATTGAATTATTTGCTGCATAAACTAGGACCAAAATGCAATTTTTCCTTTAGTATTTTCTGAGAGCAATCATCCCTAACCCTGCATGAAGTCCAATGGACACATTCAAACACCGAGTGTCACCATATGGAGTACCATTTTGGTGCTGGGGATGGAGCAATGAATGAAAGCACTCAGAACCATGGTAGGCCTATGAATGTTTGTGCTCTTAGGAATCATTTGGTCCTACTATCATTTTCAGTAGAAATTTTAAATGCCTAGTTCTATGTAATTATCAAAACCATATCTTAACTTACCATTAAATCTCATTTCTCCTGAGGTCTGGTCTGCCTCGGGCTGAGAGCCTCCAGTGGTTGGCTTCTCCTTTCTCCTGCTCACACTCCCCAATCCACCAGTTGCTATTTCCCTCTCAGCCCTGGTTAAAGAGGAATAAGGAAGAAGTAGAACAGTTCTTATGTGGCTGGATGGCTCTATGATCTCTAAGTCCACGGTAGTTAAAGACACGTCCTCAGAATACCTGGGAGATGATTAAAGGGTGTTTTCATGTGATCTTCAGAAGTCTCCCACCAGCCCTTCCCTCCTGCAGAACCTTGAGTGAGCTGGCTGGCAATTCTCTCTTCTGAGTTTCCTCTTGTGGCTCCTGGCTCAGTCCCAGGACACCCAGCTATACATGTGCCCCTCCAACTTCTCTCTGTGAAGACTCCAGGCTGCTCCATGTGAGCAAGGCTACTCATGGTGACTCTTTATAGCATGGCCTGTCTTGTCCATGCATTCCACTCACAAATCCTTTGCTGTGATGAATTTGTAAAGGACTATTTCAGTACGGTAGCAAGTGCCTGTGCTCTGCCACAGAGTAATTAGCCTCTGCTCACCTTCTGGATTTCCATGACGGGAATCAGGCCCCATGCCAGGGCATTCTCCTCCTGCAGAAAACCTCAACCCTTCTGTGAATGGCCAGTGAAGCACTGCTCTCTAGAATTTAAGTGAGGAGAGAGGCACAGCCCTCTAAGGGATTGGAGGGTACAGGACACTCAGCACAGCTTTTTCCAGGATATTCTCCTCATGAAAGCCTCTTTTCTTCTCTCCTTGTAATGTCTTAATGTGTATCAGGAGTTTCAAAGTTATAGAAATGCTTGAAAATTTGCACATTTGAATTCATTTCACCCTTACTGTGATATCTGTTCTCTCTCATATTGGCTCCAAAGTCAAAACCAAGGCAGGAAGAGTGCAGTTCTAATATAATATTATACATATATGTAAAAAAACAAATCATGCCAGGAATTGAACTCACTGTAAATAACACAGATATTATTTATCAAGGCTTTTACATCATGGAATTAGACGGTGGATTCTTTTCTGAAGAGTTGACAAAAGAGAAAAGAGCTCGCAATTTGGGGCCAAGTTGGAGGTCACTGGACTAGTTAAGGGAGACAAGTGCTTTAAGATACTAAGTGGATTATGTTTGCATCCTTTAAAGTAAAACTAAGAATCATGCTACAAATGTAACCTGGGTTTTTTTCTTTATTAAAACAGAATGAAGCCTTCTAAAAGTATGTGGCTTCTCCAGTTAATTATTCAGTATTCGACTTTCTTTTATTAAAGAAGAAAGTTGGAAACTTTAAGTCATAAGGAATTATGCTATCCGATAATAGCATTGTCTGGAGGGGGGGTGGGAGGAATGAAAAAGAAATCTAAAATTACTCCAGGATTTACTATAGCTACTCTGAGTAGAAACTTATATAAGAAATAATTAATTTCTAATTTTCCGTATAAAAACTGATAAAATATGTAGAATCTAGTTTGGGATTTTTCAAAAACCCTATGGAAGCTAAAGCCAGAACAAATGATGAAATCAGAGAAGATGAAGAAGGAGAGCATGAAAAGAAGAGATGCTAAAACCTAGTTCTGAGGTATATTTTCAGGGGAAGCAAAGAGGGAGAAAGTGAAAATCATCTGTCAAGGATGGGCATATAGAAGCCTAGAGAACAAAAAAATTGAACAGGGAGTGCATGATGTATCAAAATTCCAGAGAGATGCCGGTGAAGTAATTAAAAGAATAGGTACCTTGGAAGAAAGTTGACAGTGTCCCCCAATATTGACTAGGAAAGCCACTAACTAATAGGAAGAGCTCCCAGCAAGAGAGAGGTAGAAAAATGCAAAAGGCCCAAATTTGTTGTTCCTAATATAGTGAAGCTTAAAATAAGTCAAGCTGATTGACACCATCAGCAGCTGGTCAGTTTTATCATTGACTATTGGAATTTTTACTATTTAAGATTCTGAATTCCGTGATCCTGCAGAAATATCTTTATACATATATAAAGGAAAAACAAGCAAGACATGAAAATCAATGTGAAGTCTTGGCAAGCATTCAGAAGCACCTAACACAAATAGTGTGTGCTTACAAATCCTAAGCAATGTTTCCATGAACATCTCAAACTTGGAAGATTTAATATATGTATATTTATATGGTTTGTCTATAATAACAGAACTGTGGGTGATTCGAGATTTTTAAATTTGGTCTTTTTTCAGCGCTCTTTTTAGTTGGCCCCCTGATTGAATTTACAGCCAAACGCTTAACCAGGCAACTTATTCTTACAGGTGCAGACGACGACCATGTGCATATCCGTTAGCCTAAGCGGCTTTGTGGTCCTGGGCTGTTTGTTTGCACCCAAGGTGCACATCGTGCTGTTCCAACCCCAGAAGAATGTGGTCACACACAGACTGCACCTCAACAGGTTCAGTGTCAAAAACCTAGTTCTGAGGTATATTTTCAGGGGAAGCAAAGAGGGAGAAAGTGAAAATCATCTGTCAAGGATGGGCATATAGAAGCCTAGAGAACAAAAAAATTGAACAGGGAGTGCATGATGTATCAAAATTCCAGAGAGATGCCGGTGAAGTAATTAAAAGAATAGGTACCTTGGAAGAATGTTGACAGTGTCCCCCAATATTGACTAGGAAAGCCACTAACTAATAGGAAGAGCTCCCAGCAAGAGAGAGGTAGAAAAATGCAAAAGGCCCAAATTTGTTGTTCCTAATATAGTGAAGCTTAAAATAAGTCAAGCTGATTGACACCACCAGCAAGCTGGTCAGTTTATCATTGACTATTGGAATTTTTACTATTTAAGATTCTGAATTCAGTGATCCTGCAGAAATATCTTTATACATATATAAAGGAAAAACAAGCAAGACATGAAAATCAATGTGAAGTCTTGGCAAGCATTCAGAAGCACCTAACACAAATAGTGTGTGCTTACAAATCCTAAGCAATGTTTCCATGAACATCTCAAACTTGGAAGATTTACTATATTTATATTTGTATGGTTTGTCTATAATAAGGCAATGTTTCCATGAACATCTCAAACTTGGAAGATTTAATATATGTATATTTATATGGTTTGTCTATAATAACAGAACTGTGGGTGATTCGAGATTTTTAAATTTGGTCTTTCAGCGCTCTTCTTTTTAGTTGGCCCCCTGATTGAATTTACAGCCAAACGCTTAACCAGGCAACTTATTCTTACAGGTGCAGACGACGACCATGTGCATATCCGTTAGCCTAAGCGGCTTTGTGGTCCTGGGCTGTTTGTTTGCACCCAAGGTGCACATCGTGCTGTTCCAACCCCAGAAGAATGTGGTCACACACAGACTGCACCTCAACAGGTTCAGTGTCAGCGGAACTGGGACCACATATTCTCAGTGTAAGTATGGAACTCACCCCTTCATACACAGCACTGTAGTAGGGAGCAGGCTGGGAGGGGAAGCAATGGATAGGAACAGACAGCACATGTCTGTCCCCATGAACAATCTCAATTCAATTATATTAAGTACTGGTTCAACCGCTGGGTGCCAGGTGCTGTGCTAGGTGCTATGGATCCAGTGGTGAGCAGAAGAGTGAAAGTTCCTGTTTTGGCAGTACTCACACTGCATCAGGGAAGACAGATATTACATCCATAGCTGCAAGTAGGATTTTTGACCATGTTGTGGAGTCAGTGAGCCTGGTTTTTAGTCCTGACTGCAACCAGTTCAGTAGGCAACCTTGAACACTTCACTTTATTGCTCCCTGTCTCAGTTTACTCATTGTCCTAGAGAGCTGAACTAGATTGGTGCTCTGTAAAGTATGTCCTGTGTCACATAAATGAAGTTGCTTCATGAAAAAATAAAAGAGAGAGATAAACAATCAAATAAGAGGGAAAATGCTGCATCCTAAATGTACCCTTGGAAGTTCAAAGTACCTCTGTTAACCTGAGTATGTTAAAGGTTTTGAGAATCTCTACAGCAAGGAAGCCTTTTAATGTTGTTATTTACGGAGTCTCTTAAAAGTATTTGATAATAGTTAAACCAACTAACCTCCCATGGAACACACCTTGGAAAATGCTGGAATCGATTTTCCTCTATTTCAATGATGATGTTTTTTCAGCTGAGAACTAGCTGAGAAGGGAGTTTGGATGGAAGGTTTACCAGGATAACTCTCCAGTCCAAACTTCTCTCCAACTGACCTGCAAATATCTGAAACACTATCCTTAGAGAATCATTTGCTTAATTCTTTAGCATCCTCTAAAGCACAAATGTACCCAAAGGGGACCACCTTTTAAGTCATTTTCAGCTCATCTATGATATAAAGTAGGAGACACTCACTGACAGAAGGATGAAGAAGAAGGAAGGATAACTCTCCAGTCCAAACTTCTCTCCAACTGACCTGCAAATATCTGAAACACTATCCTTAGAGAATCATTTGCTTAATTCTTTAGCATCCTCTAAAGCACAAATGTACCCAAAGGGGACCACCTTTTAAGTCATTTTCAGCTCATCTATGATATAAAGTAGGAGACACTCACTGACAGAAGGATGAAGAGGAAGAAGGGGTGGAGTCCAGAGAGGAGGAAGGAGGACTGGAGTGACAGAGACAAATGACTACTTCACAATTTTGCCTCAAGTCAATTAGAAAGGATACTTCAAAATAGCTCAGCATCACAGAGTGAGCAATCGCATTAGTGCCCCAGTTTCTCCAAGAAAGTATACAGTTGAACAGGGCAGCCCTTCCCCCAGCAAACAAAGGGAAGACCGACAGCTGATAACACATATTCACTGATGCCCTGCATACAGTACTCTGTAGTTGAGAGCTGCAATAGGGGTGGAGACGTTACTCTCTTTTCAGCTACATTTCTTGGTACCACATGATTGAGTCCCTGAACATGATAAAACTTGTGAAGTAATTTTCTTTGGATATTAGAGAAACCTGCTTATGTCTTGAGCAAACAAGAAAGAACTGACAACAATTAACAATAACAACACCTCACAGGAACTATCATCTGCAAACAAGAAAGAACTGACAACAATTAACAATAACAATAACAACACCTCACAGGAACTATCATCCATTGAGTGTTTTCTATGTGCTCAGCATTGCGTTAAATAGTTCATACGTGTACTTGTGTACTGTATCTCATAACACACTCACAACTCCTTGAGATAAATAAACTTACCCAGAGTCACACATATGGAAAGTGGCAGAACCAGAATTTAAAGTCAGTTTCTCTGATTTCAAAGCCAGTGCACCAAATTGCTGTATCATGCTACTTCACCTAGAATACAAGCTGGGAAAGTTCCTATGAGGCTAGGCACTTGGTAGGCTCTACAGGGAGAATGAAAGGAAGGTTACCTGAAACTGTATAGCAAGACTCACGCCTGGTAAAAATAATCTTGTTGCTAGCTCAGAGCTCTTGGTCATTATTTGAGCAATTTAACAAAGTCCATAAATCTTCCACAGACATGGTTCAAAATCTCATACATCCAAACCTCAGTTAATTTTGAAATGGTAGCATTTTGTAGTACATACACCAGGAATTAATGAATCCTTGAAGGGATAACAAGGGAACTTTACCCAATCAAGTCTCTCTTCATGATTTCAGAAATATTCACGTACACTAAAACAATGAACTTCGACTGTAATGGACTTAAGCTTTACTCAGTATGTGAATCTGCTAGTATCCCAATTAATACTTCAGGTGAGCATCAACCTAGACCAACATTTTATGACTGTATTGTTACTCAATAAAATTTTAAATAAATCTTTATTTTTAAAAGTCTAAATTTAGACCTCATTTTCAGCAACTTTCCTCTAATTAATACAAATTAGTGAAGAGATATTAAAGTAACAAGGGAAGTATTTATGTGATAGCTCTAGACTTCTCAAAGTACTGAGCAATTTATCTCTTATTTGTAATTTTATATCTTTAATTCAAAATAGTTTTCTACTTGTGGGCTCATTTTGTCCCATGAGTACTAGATATCAGAGTTATATTTTACAGGTGAAGAAATAAAGAATAGAAGTTACGCGGAAAGATATAAAATGATTCACGAGTTGACACTGGCTTTCCACACTTGTGATTGAAACTTTCCCATTTTAATAATTTGGAACTGTTTTCATTAAATTCATTCATTAAATGTTTGGGTACCTTCTATACACCAGACATTTCTAAACACCTTTGAACGACAGTGGTGAACCCCTGGTCCCGTGATGCTGTAGAATGTAACCCATTAATGGGTCATGAAATGTATTCAGTATATTTGACCAGCATTTTATGAAAGAGAATAGAATAAATCTCCTAGAGTGCATTATATGTAAAAAGGGTAAGTAGTATTTCAGGACATTTGCTCCAGAGTTTACAGATGTGTACCAGGTCCAAGTAAAAACACTTATTGCTATGAATTGCAGTCAAAGAAGTATGACAGCCACTGGTCTTTGAGTTCTAGTTCTGCGTCTGAACATGTTACTGACCAGCTGTGATGAATCTTTTAGCAACTGGTTTAATATCTCAGTGCCTGTTTCCTCCATTGCATATCCAGCACAACTTATACCCATTTCCCTTCTAAATACTGGGAAGTAAGTTGTTTTATAAATCAAGAAAAATCCTTAAACTTCTCTAAATTCATCAGGTAAAGCATATGTTTTATTTGGTTGTACATAATTTACTAGTATGTTCTTCTGGCAATTATTATGCAGGCATTTTATTGTGTTAACTTATTGTTACCAATATTGCTGCTGGTTGTTTAACTCCCTCCAGAGGTAAAAATGAACCACCACCACCACCCCCGACACACACACACACAATAGTTATCTATTCTCACAGAGAAAACAGCCCCCAAATTTAGTGACTTATAACAACAACCCTTTTATTGTGTCTCATGATTCTGTGGGTCAGGAATTCAGGCAAGACTTGGTTGAGCAGTTATTATGCTCCATGAGGCCTTGACTGGAGTCCTTCTGCAGTATCACCTCAGACTGAACTGATCTGCAGGGTCCACAGTGGTTTCACTCTGACGCTTGGCGCTTTGGCGGGATGCCTCACCACGTGGGATTGTAGAGAGCATGATAGTGCCTGCCCAGATTTAAGGGGACCCCACCTCTCAAAGAATTTGTGGCCAGTTTTGTCATGAAACACTCTCCAAGTCCTAAATTAATCAGTACTGCCCTCTTACCAGAGATTACAGCAACATGATGCACCTAGACTGAAGGTGTAGTTGTATTAATTCCCAGTTAATTCTCTGGCAAGAGAGTAGCAGAAATACCACATGATCTTGGAGCCTAGGTGCACTCTCTGGAAACCCCTAAGGTGGGTGATAGCAGAAAGAGTATTGGTATTGGATTTTTAAAGCTGAGCAGTAGCTCCAGGGAGATGGCAAAGCATGACCAAACTCAGAAGCAGGCATGAAAGAAAGAGCGTGCTTAAGGCCATCTCAGAAAACTCACCATTTGAGAAATATTTGAATACCGCTAGGTGTAAAAAATACCAATTTTACTTGTGTGCTATTAACAATACACAGTGGGAGTCAGAGTAATAAATATAACGGAAACATTAACTTTTCTCCATTAAGTATACCTTTGAGCCAATAATTCCCAATATTTGTGTACAAAAAAGGACAACTCTGAAGTAGAGATTCTCAAGCCCCACCCATAGCTATTCTGATTCATGTGGTCTGGAGCAAAAGACACCCCTGCTGGTTCAATGGAAGTGATCCAAGGAGTACATTTTGAGAACCTCAGTCTACACTATCCTGTCTACTTTATCCACTGGTATCGGTGCAGAGCAGGGAGGGCCTCTTAGATTACCCTCAAAGAGGATACAGGCACGGGTTCGGAGAGGGGGAGGTATTCGTGATGCCAATGGCCACTTCCCTGTGCAGTTTTTTCCCCAGCTCTCTCCAGAACCCTCCAGAGAAGGCATTTATGTCACAGAAGCACCTGGCCACTCAGAAAACATTTAGTGAAACTGAGAATGCTCTTTTCAAGACCAGTACTCAGAGACCCAAAAGTCCTAACTCATGCTTATCTGCTGCTCTCACACCCACTCACATAAGCAAACTTTCTTTGTATTTGGATGAGAAAGAAAAGAGGTCATTCTTTATTTTGTTCAGCTATAGAAGCAAAGGGGCTTGCAGGAGCTGGTTCCCACAGACAGGCAATCAAGAAGGGATGCTGCGAATGTAAGTAGAACTGCACTAATTTTGAAAGTAAAAGCTGGGTGTGCATGTGAAGTTACACAGCATAAAACCCTTATAGGACTCATGCAGGTCAGGACATTGTTGTCACTAATATGGGTTTGCAAAGGCATAGCCTGGGGAGAGAGAGGTGAGAAATGGAGTGTGCCCGATCATCTTCAGAGCCATTATGTGCACAGACTTTCTCCTACGGGGATGTGTGTTTCTCTTGCTCAGGGTGATCATTCAGATACATGCATGTCATTACCATTAAGTTCAGCCAAGAGGCTTCTGCTCTAATGCTGCCCAGGTTTGCGTCCCTGAGGAGCCATGGGCATGTGGAGATTGATTTCCTCTGCCAAAACCTTGTGCAGAAGGGCACTTGTCTAGGGGGCAATGTGTGAACTGTTCAATTAATTGATTCTTTATTACAAAGCATTTTCACATTATAAGAAGGAATCAGTAATATAGAAAGGTCAAGTGAACAGTCTTTCAGTCACAGCACATTTTCCCACAGAGCTATCGCAGCAGAAAGCAAGCAGCTGAGGACACACTTTGCACGTATCAATGGCCAAACCTTTGAAGATACCCCAATTAGGAGAGGGCAAGCCATTTTCAAGTTCAAATATGATTTTTTATAACAGAATAAAGTAGCAGGCAACACCCAAATTTCTTCTCTATAGTGCAAGTCCAGGAAAGCAGCATAGTACCCTTTACAGGTCAGGGAGTCCCAGAATGACACCACGTACTCCATGGCCAGGCAAATTAGCAAGTAATTATGCAGCATAGACTGAATGACAGTCTCCCTGCTGTAGGCATAGGGATGTTATAGACATAAATCCTCAGTGGCTAATGCATGAGAAACCTAGAGTATTTGGCAAGTTAAGCCATTTGCTTCCAGGCCAAATATATCTAGAGCATCCAAATCTGAAAGATGTCAATCCATTGTCCCTTTGGGAAGGCACATCCACAGCCTTCCTGGGAATCTCATTCCATTCCTTTTCATGCCTTCCTCACTGAGGATGGGAGAATAGAGAGCTGTAATAGGTAACCCTACATATATTAGCAAATTGATGTTTAATACCCCTCCTGTGTTCTATTTAACATTTCCATTTGTCTCACGACTGCTCTTTTGCAACCTTGAAATAATTTTCTCTTTACCTCTAATATTTTGCTGGTTTTCCCCAAGCAAATGTAGCCCACCTTCCTTAATAACAGGGACCAGAGGCTAGATCTGGAAGAGATGCTATGGATCATTTATTCTAATAACCACATTTCTAGATGAGAAACCCAGGGCCCTATCTATTAGATACACTCAGGAATTTGATAACTGAAGTCAAAGATAAAACTCTCAAAAGCTGCTATGTGGTTCCTCTGGCCTCTCTGGATTTCCCGCCTCAGCTCAGTTACAAAATTCATGGCAGAGACCATTAGGTCAATAAGAATCTTAGCATCTGAAAATTCAATTTTTTCAGTCAAAAGCTTTCCCTTCAGTGCCACACGTGACAGCATCTTGTTCTATAGCATGAGTATAGACTTTTATTCCTCTCAAAAGCCCATGCCAGGGAGTTCAGTGACATAAATCATGCCCATCTGAGACCCAAGGATCCCTTACCCGGCTGCACAGAGAAGGTGTGGTTCTCCAGAGGGGCCACCCACAAAGCTGCTTGGAAAATGAGATTTGATTTTTAAAAAACAAAGGGATATTGTTGATGGTGACCAGCTAAATGTATATACCAAAAATATAATTTCTTCCACTTAAATAGTTCTTTAAAAGCAAGTATCACTTTCTTGAGCTAAATTACATTGTACATTTTCCATTCTGTCCCATATATTTGAAAGTAACATAAACTCAGTAGCTCAAAGGGGGTTCCTAAACCAGAGTTCAATATTGTATGAGATACCTATAGTCATAGAGTCATATACATTTCCATGTAACCCCAAATTCATTAATGCCTTTGGGAACATGGTACCATGATCAGAACTATGAAGATATGCTAATTAAAAAGGAATTATGTATATAATCAAATACTGCCCATATATTGACTTTAGATTATGCATATCTGAAAGCAAGCAGTGTCTAGTATCAGTTTATGCTACACTATTTCTCCTTCCTACTCCCTTTTCATAGTAAGTGAAACTCTCTGAATAACACCAAAAAAGGGAGATACCTATGTACTTATAACCACAAAATCCCTATCATATGAAAAAAAATTTTTAAACATCTTCCCTACCTGGAGTTAATTCAGAGTCTTTAGGAAAGGGACCCTTAACAGGTAAATATGAAAAAAAATGATGGATAATTCACTCATTCATTCAAGAAACTTTTGGACGTAGGCACAGCTCTAAGCTTACATTCACGGTGCTTACATTCTAACAGGCAAAAGTAGGCACAGTCAGACAAACCAATAATATGTATTGTTATCAGCTGCTAAGTGAAGTGCAAAAAATAATACGGGGCATAGACAAATAAGGTGTCCTGGGGTTAAAGAGAGTTACTTTTTTTATAGGGTGGCCAGGCAAGTTCTCTGTAAACAGGGATTTGTGCCGAGACATGAAGGAAATGCAAGAAGGGAAACATGTCCATCCATATCTGGGGGAAAGACATTCCAGGCAGAGGGAACAGCAAAAGTGAAGGTCTAAAGTGGAAGTACATCACAGAGGCAAATGTGGCTAGAGGGAAATGAATAAGGGTGAAAGTGAGAGGAGATAAGGACAGAGAGGAAGCAGACCGTGTAGGACTTTGGAGGTCATAGTAAGGACTTTTATTTCTCTATTGAAATAACTGGGAAAATAAACAAGGGTTTCATCAGAAGTGAGCTGACCTTAAAGGCACCATTTTCATCATTTTAGCTGTAGGGGCAGAATATAAGACAGGGAGCAGCAGAGACATCATGCAGGAAGTATTATATACTCCAGATGTTGGTGGCTTAAGTCAGGGTGGTAGCAATAAAAGCTAATAAAGTGCTCAGATGCTGTATGGACTTTGAAGGTGAAGCTAACAAGATTAGCTCCACTAGATAGGAGGACTAGAGTCTGACATTATTTTATTAGAGTTTAACACTTTTGGCTTCAGAGTTTGATCCCTCGGCATAGTGGCACATTATAGTTTATATTAGGTATTGGAGCCTCAGGGTAAGTTTCTTATTCCTGCCTGAAAACACATTGAGATAGAAAAGAGGAGAAACCAGAGATGTTGGGCAACTAAGAGTAGGTAAGAAAAATGCAAAAAATTATTGAGTCCTTTCAATTACAAGTTACTTGTATCCAGCGTGGGTTTGTGCTTCTTGAGGGAGGGAGGTGAGAATAAAAGAACATGATTAGAAAGAAAGCATGACAGTGTGAAGTGGCAACAACGGATTGAGGGATTTAGTTGAAGATCGGTAGAATTTCGGTTGAAAAGGCAATTAACTCACATCATGGGTTATAAAAAAGGTACATGCCAAATTTTCTCTTTCCATGAATCTTGTCTCACAAGAAATGAATCACTGAATGAAGAAGTCTTTGCGTTTAACTCCTAACTCCACATTTAGGTCTGTAGATTTTTTTCTTCCACATCATAGGAATATAATTTCCTCTTAAATCCACTGTTAACAGCTTAAGATTATTACCCTGATAATCTACCCCACATTTCTTAACAATGGATTTTGTCTTCCACGGCAAAATCTCTGACACATATAGCAAGGCTACCAAACCAGGGACTAGTAGTGTCATCATCTGCCCAGATATTAACATAGATTAATCAGCAGATGAACTTCTGGAATGGGACCAAGGGGCCCTAGCACAAGCAAAATTAAGGCGATGAATAAGAAAACAGGTTCACCGATGAAGCAGGAAGATAAGGCAACAAACAGCTGGTAGAAGTTGGCTTCTATGACCATAGCATTAAAATATCTAAACAAGCTGACATACTGGGGGAAAAAATTTGGGTCACTAGGAACAAGGAAATGGAACAGATGGGAACAAACTGGTGGAATGTCTCTGTTTCAATGTTTGTTTACTCCTTTTCCAAGTCTGATATATTACACAGTTACAGTAACACACTGATTCTCAGGAACCAAATCTCAGCCACTGGATTGACTAACACTTGGCATCCATAAGAATCTATTAAATAGATATGTTTAGCATTGATTGAGGGCTTAATTCCCTGAAAAAATACGACCATTTTCTCCAAAGCCTGGCCTGCGCAAGCATTACCGGTGGAAGAGAAATGAATTTCACAGTGGAGACAAAACTGCCACTTGGCCGCTCCAATGCTTTACCAAGTTTGAGAAGCAAAATATGCTTTTTGATGGGTGCAAATTGCCCTTTTGTAATCAATGGTGGCACTTTTTCAGCTATCTTCAGTTTTCAACTTGACTAGCAAAAAGTAGCACCTTAGCCTAGAGAAACTAATCCCCACTCCCAGAAAAGCCAAAAATAAGCCTGCAGCCTCTTTATTTCTGACAGAAAGGATGATTATAGAAATCTGCTTAACCGCACTTAAGAATATGGGCTTAACTTACACCATTAAAAATCTCATGAGAATTTCATTAGAATAATAGCAAAAGCTCACCGCAAACACACACATAGTACTGGGCTCTTACACATCTTTTACTACCTGGGGGAATATTAAAGAGACTAATATGGGAGACATATGTGAAATATTTATGAAAGACAAAGTAACTGAGATACTAGACTCATAAAAGAGTAATTTCCTCTACTATATTCAGCAGCATGTACAAAAATGAGATTTTTTTTTACATAACTAATCCCCACTCCCAGAAAAGCCAAAAATAAGCCTGCAGCCTCTTTATTTCTGACAGAAAGGATGATTATAGAAATCTGCTTAACCGCACTTAAGAATATGGGCTTAACTTACACCATTAAAAATCTCATGAGAATTTCATTAGAATAATAGCAAAAGCTCACCGCAAACACACACATAGTACTGGGCTCTTACACATCTTTTACTACCTGGGGGAATATTAAAGAGACTAATATGGGAGACATATGTGAAATATTTATGAAAGACAAAGTAACTGAGATACTAGACTCATAAAAGAGTAATTTCCTCTACTATATTCAGCAGCATGTACAAAAATGAGATTTTTTTTTACATAATAAAATACACTGGCAAAAGCTACAGATGAAACAGTAAAAGAGAAGCAGGGAAATGCAAGTTACAATTCCCTTTAATACACTAAAATGTGCTTAGGGAAGAAACAGCTGCAGAAAGAGTTTGGGGAGTGTTTTTGCTGTTATTCCTCTTTGTAAGAAAACCTTGAGTTTACATTATCTTCCTCTCAAAGAGTTTAGACATTGTAACATAGGCCGTTCCCTTTAATGTCCCTGTGAAGCAGGTAGATGATTCAGTTATTTTGTGAATTCTTATAATGATGTCCCCGGGATGTCTAGTAGTAGGTTATTTGAAACTATAACTTAAGGATGTTCCATGCAATTACCTTTGTAGCCCCTCTATGTGTTGCTTACCTAGTCAAAATACACCCAATTTTAAGATGTTAGAATGCGGTGAGCAAGCAGATTCTAAGAGCACACTTAAGAACAGCAGTGCAAGTTCCACAATAGTATGGGGCATAGCACAGTAGGTTTCTGATACAGTCTTTAAAAATCCAGGGAGAGAGGGTATTAGACTAATCCAAGACGGACAGGGGCATTAGCATACCAGTCCCTGGTTCTCCTAGACCTGCCCCCATTACACTTCATACTTCTTCAATCTCTGAAAATGAAAACCCTTCACAGAAGTAATAAAACTTGATCCTGGAAAAGATGAAGAGATTAGTCAAAATGTCAATGGCAGCATGCCTGCTAGAGGATGCTGACAGCCTGAGCCACTTTGCAAGGGTGGTTGATGGGCAATGCCACAGTGTGGCTTAGGAAGCACAAAGGCCCACCTGTCCCCACACAAGGCTGCCCGCAGGCCTCACCTTTGCTGCTCATTTCTTCAAGTTAAAAGGTTATTTCCTTCTTGAAACTTCCGTTGGTTCCCACCTTCTTTGAAATGCAACCATTTAATCAATCATTCAGAAAATATGTATAGAGAGTGTATTCTGTGATCAACAATAGCGATAAAATCATGAAAAAGACAAGCAGAGCTCCCTGTGTAGTTTCTAGTCAAGAGTATAAGACACTAAACCGGTTTGGCTCAGTGGATAGAGCATCAGCCTTCGGACTCAAGAGTATAAGACACTAATAAAAATAAAAAAAGCAAGACAAAATCAGTTTTAAAATTGGGTAATGTGACAGAGGGTAACTGGTCGGCTACTTTAGATTAGATGGCCTGATGATAACCTTTTTCAGGAGGTGACATTTCAGATGTGGATGACGAGGAGGAGCCAGGCATGTGATTAAGAGAAGAAAAAACATTCTTGCAGAGGCAACAGCTACTTGCAAAGGCCTGCAGCTGAGAAACAGATACACTCTATTTGAGGACAAAAGCAAAAAAAAAAAGGGGGCGGGGGGGGGCGGGGCATAGAACTGGGAGAATACAGAGAGGCATGGGAATCACCCTGGGATTTATAAGCCAGAGTAAGGAGAGCACAGAGGGGAGCCATTGGAGGTGTGTAGTCATTTTTAAATGACTTACTCTCACTGCTGTATAGATAATCTATTACAGGAAAGCCCGAGTGGAAACAGAGATACCAGTGGTGCAGCTAGTGCAGTCGCCAAGAGTAAAATATTGCTGGATTGGCCCAGGGTGGTAGATGCAAAGCTAGAAGTAGTTGGATGTGGAGACGGAGATGACTGGACCTGGTTTCAGGCTTGGCATCGGGGGAGGGATAAAGAGGGAAGGGGGCATAATGTTAGACTTCTGGTTTGGGTGATTGGCTGGATCCTGAGACTCTTCACTGAGGAAATGAAAACTAAACAGGAACAAGTTAAGGAATCAAGCGTTCTGCTTTGGCACTTGATTTTGAAATAGCTATTAAACATCCACATGGAAATGTCGAGTAGACAGTTGGATACAAAGAAGCTGCAGAAAGAGCACATTTTAAATGGCCAGACGTGCTCTCCTAAGTGGCCAGTGAACTGCGGTTTGATCTTCACCTTGTTCTTTCTCCTACCTGACCTAACTTTGATGAAGCTAGAATTAGGTAAAGTATATAAAGAAACCCTGAAAAGAATAAAGCGAAGTCCTCACATTTGGAATTATTATCACTATCACTATCCATCAAGTACTTATCTGGCACCCATTGTGTTAAAATGTCTTTGTTGTAGATGTTTCAGGAAATGTAGGTTATGCCATTCCTCAACCCCCAAAGATATTATAGCTTTTAGGGGGCTCATATTATAGAGAAAACTGAAGGTCATCTTAAAACTGATAAAAGGGAAGCATCTCTAAAAGAGTTAGCATGTCACAGGACTCCGCTGTGACCTTACGCAGCCACACAGACTTGACTTCACAGATTTCCTCACCTACCTCGCCAAGTAATCATTGCAAAATTGAGAGGTTGTAGCTTCCCTGGTGGTGGGCCTGCTGAAAGACTTCAGTGCCACAAATACGGTTAATGCTCCTCCACTGAATGCCACGTAATCTCAGATTTCATAATTAGTTTCTCCTTCATGTCTAATGAAATTCCAAAGAAAAATGCAATTTTATAGAGCAAGGCTATGTCCACTATCAGGCATGAACACTTTAGCATGACATTTGTGTGTCTGATTACTAACTGAGAGATATGCCCTTGAGGAATGGGACAGCTGACTGGTCGGTTTGATCTGGGCTTGGTCAGGTAGCCAAGAAGATCAGCTCCTTCTAGGCAGAGCATGTCCAGATGGACAGGCCAAGGGAAGGAACAGCTCTGAAAGGTAATGTAGAATTAGCTCTGATTCTCTTGGCTACATAGTTTCATCCCACGAAGAAAGGGGCTCCTTGCTTTTGTGCTCATTCAGGAAAAAAAAAAGCATTAAGGGTGAAATAGAGCTTAGCTATAGCTAGATTTCTCATAAAAACAAAACTTCCAAAACAAGAGCTATGAACTGTATCTTGAAAAACTAAGTGTCATAAAAAGAAAGAACATGTTAGACTCACACCGTGACACCGTTTGTCACTATTGTCATTAACAAGCACATCATCCCTTTGAAATATCTTCCTTTCGGAGAACTATTATGAAACTGAAGTTCTCAGGACACCAGCCCTTGATATGGGTTTCATTGAGGTTATCCACTTGAACAACGAGAATATAGCAAACCATTCTCTCAGGCAGAGGAGTTCACAGATGACCCGTGGAACTATGTAAGAGCCATCCCTGCCCAGAGAGAACAAAATTAATTAAGGTATTGAAAATCATAATTAATTTAACTATCTTGAAGAAAATTGCAGTGAGCTTTCAATTTTGCACATAGTGTTCGAACCAGTTTATAGATTACCAAAGCTCATTTTAAACCCACAAGTGGCTTCTTTCAACAGTGATTATGCTGATAAACTCTCTTCAAGACGTATGACATTGAGGGAGGTATTTACCAGGATGAAAACTAATTTGCAGCAGAACGCATTTAGAAAGTTGACCTACCACAGCATGAAATCATTTAGCATTTTCCAAAGCCAAGTTAGCATTCGTTTCCAACTTAATAATGAGTGCCTGGTATTGTTTGTGCCGTTACCTATGCTGCCCACTTGCCTAACACTGAAGTTCCTCTCCTGTTTTGTTTTCCAGCCTCTGCAAGCACATATGTCCCACCGGTGTGCAATGGGCGTGAAGTCCTCGACTCCACCACCTCATCTCTGTGATTGTGAATTGCGGTTCAGTTCTCGTGTTTTTAGACTGTTAGACTAAAGTGCTCGCGTGCAGCTCCAGACTATGGAAACAGAGCAAAAGAACAACCCTAGTACCTTTTTTTAGAAACAGTACAATAAATTATTTTTGAGGACTGTACAGTATATAGTGATGTGCTAGAACTTTTTAGGCTGATTTCCGTGCCCCTGTTATTAACGATTCCCCAGAACATGGAAATAACCATTGTTTACAGAGCTGAGCATTGGTGACAGGGTCTGACAGGGTCCGTCTACTAAAAACTATGGTGGCAATATTAGGTAACTTTTTTCCTATAAAGTTTTTGTAGGTTCTTGTTGTAACTAATTTAGGATGCGTTTCTATGTTGTATATTCAAGTTACATTATGTGTAACAGATTGTTTTTCTCAGCACAAAATAAAAAGCATCTGTATTAATGTCAAGCTACTGAGAATAAAACCATCACGGTTTTCCAGCATGGTGGATAGTGGTCTGTTCTTTATAAATCACTCCAAGTAACTTGCATATCTTGACTTCAGACCATTTCTACTTTTTTTAAAAATATATATTATTGATTTTTTACAGAGAGGAAGGGAGAGGGACAGAGAGTTAGAAACATCAATGAGAGAGAAACATCGATCAGCCGCCTCCTGCACACTCCCTACTGGGGATATGTCTGCAACCAAGGTACATGCCCTTGACTGGAATCGAACCCAGGACCCCTGAGTCCGCAGGCCGACGCTCTATCCACTGAGCCAAACCGGTTAGGGCCATTTCTACTTTTAATGTAGGAAGAAACTAACATCACTTCTCTTCACGTCTATACAGTTTGAACACAAACTGTTACACTAGAGCAGGGGTCCTCAAACTATGGCCCGCGGGCCACATGCAAATACAAATATTGTATTTGTTCCCGTGGGCCACATGCAAATACAAATATTATATTTGTTCCCGTTTTGTTTTGTTACCTTCAAAGTAAGATATGTGCAGTGTGCATAGGAATTTGTTCATAGTTTTTTTTTTAAACCATAGTCCGGCCCTCCAACGGTCTGAGGGACAGTGAACTGGCCCCCTGTTTAAAAAGTTTGAGGACCCCTGCACTAGAGGGTTGCGAGTAGAGCTGGACTTCTTCGCCAATCACAATGGTTAGAAAATATCCAGCCATTTCGGTGGCCAGATGACAACACACATCTTGGTTTCTTTGAGCCACACCTGTACTGCAGCCCAGAATCTGCCCAAATAGGGCTCCAAGGCAAGAAGGAGGGGCTCCCTATATTCTGAATGCAGAGAAGCAACCTTAATAAGTAGGAAGGAGACTGGGAAAGCATCCTGTCATTTCATTGGAAAATCACTCTCGCCATTCATAGCTGAGTCAGGCAATAAAAATGCAGGACATATTATTTCCCAATGCTTTTCCTAAGTCCCAGTAACAATGCTTAGGCACACAGGCTTGTCCCTAAACTTGACTATTTTACTAACCTAAATAAAGAGCAAACGGGGAAAGTATGGATAAGCTAAAACTGGCTTGTTCTTACCTATTTCTCCTTGTAAGCCTTTTAGCCACAGATCATTTATTACCGTAGAAAAATATACTAAGAACATAACTACCTGTCAGGTCCTGTGCCAGGTGCCAAGGATAGAAATACATTAGCTTTCTGCAACTAAATAACAACTTACCACAAGCTGAGTGGCTAAAAACAATGGAAATTTATCCTCTCGGTGGAGGGAGACAATTTATCCTCTTGGTGGAGGGAAAGTAAAAGGGGACATCTGTAATACTTTCAACAATAAAGTTAAATTTAAAAAAATAAGTTTATTCTCTCACAGTTCTGGAGACCAGAAGTCCAAAATCAAAGCATTGGCAGGGTCCTATCCCTTCAGAAGCTCGAGGGCAGGATCCAGTCCACGCCTCACCTAGCTTCCGGTGGTTGCCAGCTTCCTTGGCTTGTGGCCTCCGTCTTTACATTACCTCTCTGTCTGTTTTCTCCTCCATTTGTCTCTAACAAGGTCACTTGTTACTGGATTTAGGGCCCAACTGGATAATCCAGAATGATCACATCTCAATGATATCTGCAAAGGCCCATTCTCAAAATGTGGTAGCATTCCCATGTTCCAGAGATAGGATATTGAGATATCCTTTTTTTTGGGGGGGGGGGTACTCTTCAATAATTGAAAAAAAGAGAGATAAATGAGATGTAGTTCCTGCCTTTAAGAAGCATAGCGACTGGAGAGTATTCTAGTGAGGGAACTATGACTGAGGAAGACAGTGAGAAGAGGAGGAGAATCAAGTACATAAGGGACCGCCTGGCTGGCATGGCTTAGTGGTTTGAGTGTCGACTGTGAACCAGGAGGTCATGGGCATGTGCCCGGGTTGTGGGCTCAAGTGCATGTAGGAGGCAGCCAATCAATGATTCTCTCTCATCATTGATGTTTCTATCTCTCTCTCTCTCCTTTCCTCTCTGAAATCGATAAAAAATATTTTTTAAAAGAAAGGATATGAGGGACCCACAGGCCAATAACCAGGGCCTGGTTCATTGAGACATGCTCATACTATTTGCACAACACCCAGGAATGATGAGCAGGTGTGAAAAGCCAACACTGGCCTTAAAGGAAACAAAATGAGGAGTCAGATTTTAGAGATTCTCTTTTTCCTTCCGAATGCATTTGAATCAGCAACTAATCAATCCATCCAAACCGCACCAGATGCTCAAAGACAACAGTGCTCACCAGGCCCTGAATTCTCATATTGAAATAAGAACCTGGATTTTCAGGAGTGAGTGGGGGAGACTGGGGAACGGGTTCAATGGCACTGGATGGCAAAAAAGACTTCTGCTGTGACTGCAACTGGCAGGAGTGCTAGAACAGTGTGCTCAGAATGAGCAGCTGCTCAAGATAAAGCCAGCCCGCTGATGGAATGTGACAGTCTGAGGCAGGAAATATCAGATAGGTTGTTCAGAGGCACAACTGATGCCTAACACAATCAAATTGGTCATGGATCTCTTTAAACAAGATAACTAGGCTGTGGGTGAATCTTGAGAAACTGTTTGTGAGAGCTGAGTTTTGATTTCTGGCCACTCTATTTCACGTCCAGCCTGGACACAGAAAATGCACTCACTGACAGCTCTTGTCATTTCTCCTGCCCTGGCACAAGCCTTGTTTCCAATTTCAAAGTGCATCATCTAACATGCGATCCCTAGAAATAATGTTTTAAAAAATATTCAGAGTATACATGGAAAATAGCTGCTATAAAATCTTTTTTACATAAGCCATTTCAAACAAATAGGTTTGGGATTGATTTTTTATTATTATTTTTTTACTCCAGTAACATTTCATCCTTCCAAAATATAAAACTGGTTGAGCTGATCCATCTTCGCAAAAACTTCCCGAATTTAAGGAACTCAAGCAGAATGATGTATACCACTCATTAAAAAAATATCAGAACCTAACGGGATGGTCGACTATCATTGGTTTCCCAAGTGTTTACAGTTTCTGAAATGCTCTGTGTCCTTTCTAGTTTAAATATCAATCTATTGTCTTGTCCACTCGGGTTTATCGTGGTAAAATAAAAAGGAGCTAGGCAAGCTGGTTTGCAGACTACACAGAGGACAGATTAAGAGAGTGGCTAAGAAAGAGGGGATTTGGTCTTCAACTCCACACTTCCCCAGGGTAGCCCCCCTTTCCTCACTTACCTGTGGTGATAGGTTTGGCCTCAGAGCTCATCAGCAAAGGCTATTAAGCATGGAGCAGCCAATAAAGGTGAGGCGCCAGGACGATGGAGCACCTGTGGGGATTACAACCACCACAGCTCTACTAACAAACACCCAAACCCATGAATAAGACGAATATCTCTCCTGTTCTGTGACAGAAATTTAGCTTTATGTAATTCCCTCTGGTTTCACTCATTTATTTAACCCAAGCCATCTGAGATGAAGGAAATCTTGCCCGCCTCCAAACCAAATCTAGCAGTATCCACAAGATATTTTAGACAAAGCTCTTCTTCCAAGAGTTATGAATAAGATGAGAAAGAAGTACAGCAAATTAAAAGCCTTATTGGGACATTTTGTTCAAGGAAATTGGCGATCTCTCTCTGGACCCACCAATCATTAAAAGAATCCTAAATGTCTTTTGCAGCTCCGTAAGTCTTAAAACACAATTTGGTAAATGTGTGAGGATTGAGGTGTGCCCTGTCTAAATGCAAAGACCCTCTCCAGGGCCGGGGCTCTAGAATCTGCACTGAAGCTCCAATACCCTCCACTTCCAAATGGTTACTTTAAATGGATCTGTATACAAAATTGAATATTATCTCCAAATCCACTTACCTTAGCAACAAATGTTATATAAACCCCAATGAGAAAAGGTTTTTAAATGAATCTTGCTGGTTTACTCTGAGCCAGTTCACTTGCTTTGGTTTTACCAGTTGCTGACCAATAACCATAACTAAGTCCAAGTACTGTAAAAGGAACTCCGAATCTGAGTATCTGGCTTTGTCTTTAACTATTGATTAAATCATCTAGGGAGGGTGATAGGTTATTTTCTTTTTGAACATTTCTAAAGACTTGAGAAATGTTTAAGGTGGTAGCTCCTAAAGGGCAAACAGTTTTGCTTGTGGGTTTTGGTGATCTAAACCAGGGGTCAGCAAACCAGAGCTCGCAGGTCAAATCCTGAGCTAAGAATGCCTCTCGACTTTTAAATAGTTGAGAGAAAAAATAAAAAGAGAACTGATATTGCCCTGGCCGGTGTGGCTCAGTTGGTTGGGTGTTGTCACATGTACTGAGAAGTTGCTGGTTCGATTCCCAGCTGTGACACATGCCTGGGTTGTGACTCCATCCCTGGTGGGGAGCCTGCAGGAGTGTGCAGGAGGCAGCCGATCAATGTTGTACTCTCACATCCATGTTTTGTCTCCCTTCCTCTCTCTAAAAAAACACCAATAAAATATTCTTTTAAAAAAAGAGGAATGATATTTTATAAGTGACATTTAAATGAAACTCAAATTTCAGTGTACATAAATACTTTTATTGGAATGCAGCCACACCCACTTGTTTACATGTTGTCTGTGGCTGCTTTCATGCGGCAATGGCAGTGGGGAGTTACAATTGAGACCATGTGTCCTGAAAAGCCAAAAATATTTACTATCTGACCTTTAACAGAAAAAGTTTGCTGGCTTCTGACCTAGACAATTACAATAATAATATCAATTGACTTCCATTGATTTGTCCCCATAATAAAGTTTTATTTCCTTCACTGATGATCCTAAAATGAACACATCTGAAAATGTTAAACTAAGAGAAATAAAATCCAGCAGAGTATAATCTCTAGCCAATTACTGTGACGTTCATTTTAACATTCAAGGAGTGAGTTGGATGTTGAGGCTTTTTTATTTTTAAATTTATTCCCCTGGGGACTTTTTCTTTAGGGCAACCTTAATTTACTAGTATGATCTGGGCCTCTAAACCTGAGAAAATATTCATGGTTACTATAAAATATTTGTGAGGATATTTGAAGTCCTCTGAAGATCTACTCTCCATATCTTTTATGTAAAAAGAAAAATGTGAGCAACACACTGACTTTAAACTTGCCAATGAACTCATCTTCCCACCCTAATTCACAGGAAATTAGTCTCCCATTAGGAATGACTGGGAATCACAGAAAGTAGCATTGATATAGGTCAATGGTCAATTGGTCATATTGATTTTGAAAACCATAGTCAATCATAACCCAACACCTGGAGACCCCAGTTGGCAAATGACTGGACCCAAGCATTCTTCCACATAACCATTTAAACACCTTTTCTCCCTGGAAAGAAAATAATGATGAAAGTCTACACAAAAATACTATGAAACATTTTTAATCCTGGAAAGGACTTAATTGCTAGTAACCAAAGAGGGGAAAAGTCAACAAGAATAAAATTCAGTCTTTTAAAACAAGTGAACACATATCAAATTGCTCAACATTGTTAAATGTCATGATATACTTTATCCATAGAAGACATGGTCCCATCCGGTGGAAAACTGATTTAAATATATTTTGACAGAATGCTAAGAGATATTATAGGTGGCAGTTGACTTAATGAAGTATTTAAGGCTTCAAAACCGTGCCTTTTAGAAAAATAAAAAATAACTACTTCTACCACTTCAGGGGGAAAAGAAACAATAAATGTCAATTAAAAGTCATAGAAACATGATTAATTTCTTTAAGCCCTTCAGCATTCTACTGAGCTTTGCAAAGGTAAGACCTAAAACTAAAGTGAATTTTATAGCCAGGGTTGGTCAGAATAGTTTCCTCATACTATTCTTTCTGTCATACTTCTTTAGTGCTTGGAATAAAATGACAAGTACTGGGATCCACAGAAAAAAAAGGAACTCCATTCCAAAAGATGGAACTGAGCTGACAAAATCTATTTAATATCTAAAATTAGAAATAAATAAATTCTTCAATCCCAACTACATTTTCAGAGAGTTCATTAAAATTTAAGGCATTTTTGACATGTCAGAGATTTTAGTCCAGTGACAGGAGAAGAAAGAAGCTACCTGGGAGCAAATCCCAATTATCTCTATGGCTTGGAACATGCATGTTGAGCACAGCCGAAGATGAAGAGAGAGTGACAGGTGACTGTGCAGGAACTTCCTGACTCTGTCCAGCTGTACAACTCTGCCCGGGTTCTTCTAAAAGGGTGCGTTTCAAATGTATTTCATTCTTCTGCTTAAATTTTGACCAAAAATGGAGATAGACTCATCAGCACTGTTAGTAAGATCAAATGAGCAATGCCAAAATAATTTCTTCTTTATAATAAGATTTTTAAAAATTAAACATGAAAAACATTTATACTAAGTGATGCCCTCCCTGAATCTCACACCCAACAATAAAATAATGGCAATATGCCCATGAATCCAACAGTAGAGATATACACAAAACACACATTCATTCAACAATAACAGCATCATCCAGTGTTTTACCCACCAGCCAGATAAACACAATTCTTTATTTTTCTCCCACTTTCCACAAAAACAAAGACATAACCTGCTAAATCAAAAGTTACAAATCATACCTTATTGAAAGATGTGGGGCAAAACATTCAACATACCCTGCTCACGTGCCCTGCTTCTCTCAGCCAACCACCAGTCTTTTTAAAAACATGGGTTAAGATCTATAAAGATTACTGTTAATTGGAAACAAACCAGAGCACCTTAGATCATCAATGGCCAGGAAAATCCCCTTTCTGTCAGTTCTAAAACAAAATTGGTCAAATCCAACTTCAAACTGCTTTCAATAAATAATATTGAAGTCGTGCTAATACTAGTAATCTGTTCATCATAGGAAATATCATAATTATCTGGATCACTTTTGAATAAGAACGACAACACTTATTTCATGACTGTTAATGGTATAACCACATTCATTAGAATACCATTATAAGCAACTTTCTAAAATTGAATTCCTGCCTTATTGACTTAAAAAAAACACACACACAACTCTGTGAAGTCATAATCCTCTACATCCTGTAGCAGAATGATAACTTTTGATGCTTGACCAAGGGCAAATATCCCATTGCCATTTTCTGGAGACCACGAAATTATTCCAGTACCTTTGTACAGTTATCTGTACTTGTACACAAGTCATCCCACCTTCTTCATGATTTTGCAAGGTGATTTGATAAACAGGCCTTCCCACTCATTTTTAAATCATGCTTTGAGCATTACATAAACTGTTTAAGCCATTTGACTTCTATGATAGTGTCACTTGTTTGTATTAATGGAAAGTCAAGGTTTCTCCTTGCTTTTTCCCCCCTAAATATTCCTTCAACACCTCTAGTCAAGCTCATCTTACCAGTTCCAACAAGAATGGAATTTCAAAGGCAATTATAAGTTTCGATATAACCCAAGCACATGCTGAGTCTTCCTAAAAAATTACTGCTTACTTAGGCTTCTGAAATCAAGAAAGATACCCTATGAAAAAAACAAAAAGTTTATTGTCTTCCTTTGTTCATCATTTTTAATTTTTAAAAAAAAGATGTTTCAAGGTCTTGTCAGGAAAATAAATATTGGGGAAAAAACAACTATACCTTTAAAAAGTTTTCAAATCTTCCCTAAAACATAAACAAAGAAATGACAAAAATGGGATCACAATGCATATGCTACCTTCTGCCCTTCATAGCACACTTTTCATGTAGAAGTTATAAATAATAAAAGTTACCCATTAATTATATGGCATGCATCAACAGTGCACTGGTGGGCTTAACCTTGGTTTTCAGTTAGGTGTATATAACTGGAATCTTTCAGTTATGTGTATATACAGATAAATCTCTTCCTGAGTTGAGCTTCCTCTTCAGTTGAGACCCAAACCATTTGCTTTCCTATTTTTGGCAAGATACTTGACCATGTGATAAGGCAATCAAACATTTCAACCTCCTTCCCTTTTCAGCAGCATGGCCTTCTCTGTAACATCACCAAAGTGCCAGGTACGAGGGTGGGCTCTAGACTATGGTCCTGTAAAACTAGAGAGCAGGTTTCTTTATTCATCAGTCTGAAAGCTGCAGCACAGTCTTTTCATATATTTGGAGATCTTGAGGATTTCAGTTGAACAGATTCAAAATGGTCTTCTTTTTCCTATGAAGGAAATATATTAAAACAAAATCAACTCATTAAAATTCCAATAAGATTTTAGGATCTTACATGTCCAGAAGGAAAGTTCTGGCAGTCATTTTAATCTAGGTGCCTGCCACTCATAATTAGGATTTTTACATTTAAATAAGGGTGTCCAATATAAAACAGATAGAAGGCCTGCCCTGAAGGATGTTTTTGATATCCAGAAGATAAGACAGACAATCCAAAATCGGAGCAAACACATGACTGCAATAGATACCAAAAGATGTGGCTGTTATTCTTGTGAATAACCCACTGAGATCTTCCTAAGGGGACATTTGACATGGGTGCTGAAATAGATGACCTTGCCATGCAAATTGTGGACAAACTAGAACTGACAGAAACTAAATATTCTCAAGATAACATAGGCTAAACATAAGAAAAAGGCTGGCAGAAATAAATAAGGCAAACAAAGACACAGATCATTTGTTTTAGGAAAATATTTTGGGCACATATATGCCAAAAATATTAAAAACAAGTCTTCTTTGATAATAAATCAAAATTTTAACTCAAATATATCACAACTGGTGTTTGTTATATGACACATTCAAAATGTAGCCTGTTATGCTGCCATTTGTGCCAACATGGATGGATCTAGAGAATATCATATGAAGCAAAATAAGTCAGATGGGAAAAACTCAAAACCATATGATTTCACTCATATGTGGGATATAAATCTGAAAACAACAAATGAATAAACAGGAAAAACAAATAAAAATTCATAGACATAGATAACAGTATGGTGGTTACCAGCGGGAAAGGGAGTGGGGGTTAATAAAGGGTAAAGGTGGCCAAATATATGGTGACAGAAGAATTGACTTTGGGTGGTACACACAATACAATATGTCAATGATGTATTACAGAATTATACACTTGAAACCTATATAACTTTATTAACTGATGTCACCTCCAATAAATTGAATAAAAATGATTTTAAGATGTAATCTATTAAAATAAATAATTCTTCTTTAATGGAGAAAAAGAGAAATAAGAGGTGCAATCTCTCCCAATGTTTTCACCGTTAAAGTCAGAAAAAGCTTTCTGAAGGCTGTTGGAATGAGATAGGGAACTATGCTATCGAAGGGAATAAAGATGAAGAGGACCAGGATTATTTTTAAAATAAAGGAAATAGGAGGCAGACCAGCCCTAGGTGCAACTGGATGTGTTCTAAAGTAGATGAGTAAAATGAGAAAATAATAGGAAGCTGGCATTGAGTATCTGTCAGGAAGAATGAGGTTGCTTTGGTGTTGTCTCTCATTTGAGTGGAGAAGTCCAAGACTTCAGACAAGCTTTAAGGCTACAGGGACAGGGTTATAGAAAAAAATCACAGTGTGCACACCAACCTTCTGTTTTACCCAGCCTTTGCGGAGATGACAAGTCCTGGGGAAAGCAGACTGCAAATCTCAGCACTTGAACTCACTGGCTCTGTGAGAGTTGCTTGGAGTCTCATGTTTACCAGACTTAATTTTTGAAATAACCATTGGTAATTCAAATATTTATTAAGTACCCACTGTGTTATACAAGAACAGCACTAGACTTTAGGGATACAAAATGTCTGCCCTCAAGGAGTTCAAAGTATATTACAGGAAAGAGCTTCCAGGTATCGCCATGAACTAGAAAGGAAAGCTGAGATTTTGTGACCTTTCCTTGAGAAGATTTGATTCACATGTTCTGGGGGTGAGGAGGGGGGATGAAGGGAGCTGAGAAAAAGACCTGTTTTGATTCCCATAAGAAAACTCAGTGTGGCAAGGAATAGTATTTGAGCTCTTACTGCCTCAGATTGGGTTTCAAGGTGGAAGGTCACTGGAGAATGCTAAATTGACCCAAAGGAATCTTGATAGATGAGTATGATCACCCTATCTGGACATTTTTCCTACCTTTTATTTTAAAACAATGCATTAACTGAGATATTTTGATATTTGAGCAAGAAATAAGGTGGATTCCTTTTTTTAAAAAAGACTATAATATGTGAATCAAGGCCAAATCAGCAAAAGGATATGAAATTCAACAAATGGGGTTTAAACAGGTTTGCAGTGGGGAAGGGAAGATGATGTGACCTAGTGCAAGAAGTTCTGCTTGCCCATTCAAGATGCTGCTGTTACTGCTTCTATGTCTGAATATATAGTAGGAATTGATGGTATATGTTTTTGCTTCCTCATCTCATAAATGTCAGAGGAGATTCCTTTGGTCCAGAGCAGCCCACATGTGGGATATTCCAGGGGTCCTAACTCCTCTGCCATTTGCAACAAATGTGTGAGTCAGGATTGCAGTCAGTCATTCCATGAGGTGGACAAATACCACTTCTGATGCCCAAAGTTGTCACTATATGAATGTCCTGTTGGTGTCAAGTCAGAAAGCTGTCTCAACAGTCTTGCCTATGTTACCAGACTTCTGCCAGCAGAATCCAGGGATCTGCTAAGTTACGTTCCTTGAGGCCATGTGGGCAGATGCACAGTGCTAAGTCGAGCCAGCACTCAAAGAAAAATAAGCAGCACCTCCCTGGACTCTTTGCGGCTGGAAACAGTATGGCGTCACTTGAGTATTTTACTTGCTCTTTTATATCAGCTACCCCACAAAGTGGGCCCAAACCAGCAGGCTGTGTTAAGAGCTGCCCAGCAAGCTAAGTCATGCTCTCTACCTTAGTGGCCTCACAATCCTAACGACCACTTTGTGATACAACTCACTATGATTAATGATTCTGCCCATTAGAAACTCTGGCGATGGGAAGCAGGCTTTCTCCAGGGGCATCATTTGGGGTTTTAGACTCATCACCCCCTTGACATGGTTACTCTTTTAAAAAACAGCGACAAGCTTATTACTGAGCTTCTGTCCAAACTAAATGCCATTTTCATGCACAGTCCCATTCGTGGTGAATCAACAAGGTTGAAAGGGCACATAAGCATCACTTGTCAAGTATAAGTAGTATATTCAAGGATACAGCTGGTCTGGGCCAGACCACCTTCCCATGAAGTAAAATACCTTAGTGTTAATCTCTCAAAATTTAGCTGATTACTGGGTCTACCATACCCACCAGATGCTCTAACAACAATTTGGTTGCCATTCTCCTTAAATCTGTGGCAAGTGGGATTTTGGGAACTGGTATAATTGTTGATACTCTAGTTAATGCTTCTGCTGTGAGTGCAAAAATGTCCTTGGTCCCTGAATAGAAATCTCATGTCTTCTAAAGTGTTTATGAAACTATGGCAGGCTCACTGGTTAGCCTGAAAGTAGGGTAAAATATCAGTTCATGACAAGCACTTCATATTACTGTTCTATAGTAATCGTATCCTTCCTAAACTACCATATTAAGAAAAGAAAAATAGCCCTGGCCAGTATGTCTCAGTGGGTTGGAGAGTTATCCCATACACCAAAAGGCTGCGGGTTCAATTCCTAGTCAGGGCACATACCTAGGTTGCAGGTTCGATCCCTGGCCTGGGTGCATACAGGAGGCAGCCAGTTGATGTTTCTTTCTCTCTCTCTCTCTCTCTCTCTCTCTCTCTCTCTCTCAAATCAATAAACATATACTTGGGTGAGGATTTTAAAAAAATAAAAAGAAGGAAAGAATTATTAAATAACCATTAGTAGAAGAGGAATATGGCTTATTCATTTTATTTTTAAATGATCCTCTATAATAGATTCATGTGGTGAAATTAGGAGTAAAAGGTACTGGTTACTAAAATACTTTCAATAAATTCATCTTTTGTCACTTGTCCTTCCTTCTGAAAATCATTTCAAATGCATATTTTCTTCTGTTTGATTCTATTTTTAATCCTGAGTGGATAAACTGGACATTTCTATCTTTTAAGTCAATAGTGAAGAATGTGAATAAAATGTGTTTATAAATAATATTTAAGCCTTCATGTTATCTGTCTGGATATGGTAATCATTTCAAAGCCAACAAATGTGCTGGCATCTGATAAGGTACATTTGCTACCTCAGCAGTTTACATAACTTCTATTTTCTCTGCATGAAGCAATCTCATTATAAATTTTTTTTAAAGAAAAGTATAAATGGACATGAGATCTTTCATTAAAATTTTCTTTTTTAATATTATAATACATTATCTTTGTGAAAATTCAAACATGACAAAAATGTCTTATTCCAAAGACTAAAGACACCCATTAGTTCAAACTGCCAAAAAGCAACTACTGTTAGTAGTTTGTTATGCAAATACTAACATAAATGTATATTTATTAGAAATGTGACAGTCTATGTGTTTTTTTTACTTTATCTTGGATCTACTGACATAGATATTTATATCTTTAATAGCTGCAGGGTTACACAGTATTCCATTACATTGCTAAATGAATATTTCTTATCTAACTCCATACTTATGGTGTTTAAGGTTGTTTCTGCTTGGTTAACCAGCAAAAACAATGCTGCAGTGAATAGTCTTATATTTATATCCTTATGTACTTCTAAGAGCATTTTTGTTAGATAAATGCTGACAGAAATATAGACATGCTGACTGACAGGGCTTGCAGGGATGCTACTATTAGGTTACTATGGCCCCTAATTTATAAATGCACAGTATGACCAGGTTAAAATTCTGCTCTCACCTTTGTGGCCAAGGATTTGAGTTTTCCCAGTAGTGACTGCTTATTAGAATATACAACTTCCTCTTCATTATCTTCTCCTTCCATGATAGCACAACTGTCTGCAGCTGGGAGTTCACACTCTTTCGAGTTAGTTGACATTACTAACTTGGAATATTTGTACTCCAATCTAAGTAGTAGTAAATAAATAGATAAAGTGGGGGTTTAATATAAAATAGTACTTTTTTTAAGTGATCACACACAAACTCATTAAGTTGTCTTGTAGTACAGTTGCTCTACCAACAAATTTCCCTCACCTATAGCTATTGCACTATATGTTCTCATTTTTGCACCATTTACACACAAATCTTTTTCAGGGTTTCAGAGGATCAATGCAATACAGTGAACTCTATCATCCTTTTACATGGACTAAATTGTCCAATTATGAATTTTTGAAAAACAAAGAGAAACCTTGAGTTCTAAATGCATTTTCTTAATTTATAAATATTTGGAAGCTAATTTACCATACAGTGTTCCAAAGTTCAGGTCATAAGACTAAGAATACCATATAGGCAATTGATTTGGTCTTTACCATTTCTATCACTCATCCCTTTCTATTAGAAAGCCACAGATATTCCAACTGTCTTGAGGTATTATTATATAGAACCTTCACAGCCCCACTGACACATAAATCATTTTAAAAGAGTCAAATCATGTAACACCGCAATATAAAATCAGGAGTTAGACTCAATATTCAACTCTAGATTCTTGGATTTCTTGAATAAATAAAGCTGCTATCTGCTTATACAATTAGTTTGTTTCTTTGCAAATATTTTCCCACAAGAAACTAAAAAAAAAAAAAACAAAAAAAAAAAAACAAGGAAAGTTGGGGCAAGAATACATCATGTCAGGACAAGAAAAATGGACACAGAAAAAAATGGCTTTCTGATTTCAAACCTGAGTCACCATTTTTGTTTTGTATAAATGGATCAAATTCAATAATCTCTGATGTTCTATGATCTCTATATTGTCAAAATTATAATTACTTCCATTTGCTTTCTTTAAGTCCTTTCTTATAACTCCTTCACTGGAACAAACTCCTTGTGTCTCTGAGAGAAACTATTGGATATAATGATTAAGTCTAAAATTTTCACAAAAAAAGATCCAATGAGGTTACTTACTTCTGATTCTTTTTCCAAAAATAGCAAGTTAGAGCCACCAGCAAAACAGCTGTGAAAGCTCCCACACCTGCTCCCACTTTTAGCCAAAAGTCAACTGTTTCACAGGTTGACAATTTTTTCTCAGGCAAAGAAATTCCTTTAATGCACCATTTTGGTTCATTCCATACATATAAAGTTTCCTTTAAAAACAAAAAACAGAGATGACATAAAAAATAAGATTCAGATGGAGAAGGGCTTTGCTAACCCTTTATTCATGTAGGCATAGAGGATTATTCAGCATTCATCTAGTAAAAGCTCCAGAGATGTAGAAGTTATATAGAAGGTGTAGAAGAGATACAGAGGGGAGTGGATAAGGAAATGAATGAAAATGCAACAGAACCAATTAAAACCATGGATTGTCACATACATGCTAAGGAAGTTGAATAAAAATGACTCCATCTAGACCAGCGGTTCTCAACCTGTGGGTCGTGACCCCTTTGGTGGTCGAACGACCCTTTCACAGAGGTTGGCTAAGACCATCCTGCATATCAGATATTTACATTATGATTCATAACAGTAGCAACATTACAGTTATGAAGTAGCAATGAAAATAATTTTACGGTTGGGTCACAACATGAGGAACTGTATTTAAAGGGCCAGAAGGTTGAGAACCACTGATCTAGACTCATCCTTTGGCTATTTTCCTCACATTTCTGATATCTCTGACTTCTGACTCATGTTTTTAAATGAACATTTAGTTGGTTAATATAATTATAATTGGAATGTTTTCCCCTACAGGCCTCTTCCTTGAGCAGGAGAGTAGACCTTGCACCCTGGACATGTAAATACAATTTGAATGTCAGGCTTTGGTGACTGGTGTGGGGGCAGGGGAGGTACACAGATTGCACCCCACTTCCCATGCCTAAATAAGGATGGAATTATTCTGGGTCATCACTACCCACACGAGGTTTTACTCTGAGCTTCCAAAAGTAGATGACAATTTATTTAAGGCAATGTTTTTCAACCTGCAAATTGCAACCAGTGAGTAATAAAATCAATTATTTTTGGTCTCAACCAGCAATTAGAAAAATAAATAGATCAAATAAAACAGATTAGAAATAAAAACCAGAGCACAGTGCATGGTTCCTAATATATTTCAACATATGCAGTGACCAGTAGCAACATGCATGATGATTATATTCAGTGACATTAAGTGTCATGGGGCATTACATTTTTTGCTCCTGGTGTCTCATTACATTTTCTGGTGTATTCTGGTCACTTTATCAACACCCTGACAGGAGGATAACACCACAATGTTTAATTGGATTTTATATACATGCTCAATTTTTTCAGTTAGTAACTGATGTGCAGAAGAATCATATTTATTTACTTTGAGAAAAAGTTTCAACCAAGTCTGGATAATAACTTTCAGCATTTTTTTCTAAAAAGGACATTAAAATTAAGAATTTTTTTCATGCATGATAACTACAACATTTTTGTTAAACTCAGTATGAGTAAATTACTTTTATGAGAAGGATGAGGTGAGAAATGAAGAGGCATATTCAAGTTGAACTGACACATCTCTAAGTGTAGGTAATGACAATAAAAAGACAAATGTTAACCCTAGTCAGCAAATGTTGACTTCATCTGAAGTGCGTTCCAACAGGAAAACACACCGTAAAAAGAGTTTATATGGCTTTATTAAATGTCCAACACCCAGTGAAAAATGGTACCCTCTAATGTTTAATGACAGTCCTATAAATAAAGTGCTAAAACTTCAAAATAAAAAAGATCCTTATAAACCCAGTATGCTTAACTTTAAGCTCCTCAAATTGTTAAACAACAACAAAAAAAATGAAGCTATTGGTAAAAATTTCTTAGCCATCTATAACTTAGTCATTTTATACATTTCTTAGTCATTTTATTAATTAGGAAGCCTTACACCTTCACCTGGTCACGTCATCAGCAAACCTGGAAATACAGCTGAAAAGCTTATTCTTCCAGCATGTAGGAATGTTTTGTGAACAAGATGAGATAAATTAGATGATAAATTCAAAAACATTCCTCTTAGTGATCACACAGTCCCTCTTCAAATCTTTACTACTATCTGACATTTAGAAGTATTGCTTAACACAGCCTTAGAACCTGGTATAGATTTTTGAGATCCAATTTGATAGGAGCACTTTTATCACACGTTGTGCAGCTCTGTTAGCTTATATCAGCTATATGTGGAGGACTTGTCGTGTGTAACTTTAACTTTATACACATCTGGATTTGGATGTATTTATAGAGTTGGGGAAGTAAAATATAAAATGAAAAATTACAAAGGATGGAGCAGGAACTAGGGCAGAAATATAGTGGAATCATTTAAAAATTAAAAGAAACCTATAGCAATAATCTGTAATCATTGTCGTTTTCTATCAAAAGGCTTTGGCACCCAAAGAAATCTACCCTAGCTTGTGGACATAATGGAAAACACAGTGAGAGCTGTCCTTTGTATTATGTGAAGCTTATGGAAGAGCAGACTTTTTGAAATATTTTATTCAGAGATTGGAGGTAAACCTACCCACGGACTGAATCACACCCATTTGTTTGTTGTTGCAATGGAATACACTAAACAAGATGTATGAGCTTAGAAATGGCATTTATATTTTTTCCAGTTGAACCTTGATCTCATTTGGCAAATATCTTCAAAAGCGCATATTTAACTGATTTTGGTATTTCTCAAATTAAATTGGAATTATGAAGGGGGATCATATATTTCAGCATATCAAATACATCAAAAGATATTATTCTTAAGATCAAAACATATATTTAAAAGGATCATCTCACCACTATGTTTCTAATGTTCTTATCACATGTTGAACAGAACTTCTTCAATGAAGACAGTTTGAGATAAAATTAGAGGAACTGTTGTGACCTATCTTAAACTCCCAATCATTACCTTCCAGAATAGAAATATTAAATATTAAAGGATATTTTAATAAAGGTAGTTGAGATTTTCAAAACTTGAGTTAAACTTGGTAGCCCAAAAAAAGGGAATGCATCTTAGTTTTTCATTTGCTCTAAAAAAATGATTATAAGATAATAAGTTTATCATAATTTTAGAGAAAAGGTAAAGATGGATTTCCATTGTGAAGCATTAAAAGTATATCATTATTATTATGAGGATTTAAAAGGCATCATGTTTTGTGAATCTGAACTTTTCATCCTTACCTACTTAATAATGTTAAAAAAGAAATTGCTCAACAGTCACTCTATGTGAGCAACACTGTCTTTGAATGCTCAGTGTAAAACTTCAGCTACCTCAGCATATGGGAGTTTAGCTTCCACACTTGATTTTAAATGCATATTAATGTCACATTAAGGGAACTATAAGCTTTAGCCATGCTCTCAAATCTGAGTTTCTATGATGTAAGCGATGTTAGACTGAAGGACTGTATCTTCAATGACACAGTTTGCTCCTTACCTGAAATCCTCTCTTACAGGCGCCCTCAATCTCATGAAAGTCATGCTCTGTGCACAGAGGGCAAGCTTCGGCACTCTCCCACAAGAAGTAAAATGTACATCCATCACAGGTGCCTGCTGGACACTTGCTGAAATAAAAATTTTTTTAAAAGACAGTTTTTGTATCACATTCAATCAAGTCTAATCAACACCTGAGTGTGGACTGCATACTGGGAAGTAATGCGTGGATACCAAGAAAACATACATTTAAAAAAAATAATCTATAGGAGACAAAACGACAATGAGATTCCACTTCGCACCTACTAGGATGGCTAGAATCACAAGGACAGATAATAACAAGTGTTGCAAGGATGTGGGGAAACTGGGACTTTCACACACTGCAAAGCGGTGAGGGTGCTTTGGAAGAATCTGGCAGTTCTTCAGACAACTAAACAGAAAATTGCCACATGTTCCAGCAATTCCAATTCTAGGTAAATACCCAAGAGAAATGAAAACATTTTCACAGAAAAACTTGTACATGATTATTCATAACAGCCAAAATGTGGAAACAACCCAGATGTCCCTCAACATTAAGATGGTGAATGGATAAACAAAATGTGGTATATCCATACAACGGACTATTACTCAGCCATAAAAATGAATACAGTACTAATACATGCCCCAAATTAGATGAACCTCAAAAACATTATGCTAAGTACAAGAAGCCAATAAAAAATTCCATGTGTCATGTGTTGTTATTCATGTCAAAATCCATAACAGGGAAATTTATAAATGCAAAGTAGGTTAGTAGTTGCTTAGGCTGGGAAGGGGGCTGGGGTTTAGGGAGCAGATTAAGGGTATGATGCTTCATTTTAAGGAAATAAGAAAGATCTAAAATTAACTACAGTGATGTTTGCACATACCTAAATATATAATAACCATTGAATTGTATGCCTTAAATGAGTGAATTGTAATGGTATGTGAATATATCTCTATTGAGCTGTTTTTTAAAAAATTAAAGGAGAGAATGGCACAGGTAATGACAAAAAATAAATAAAAAGCTCAGGGAAGGTTTCTTGGTGGAAGTTATATCTAAACCAAATCTAGAATATTCTAGAATAGAAGTTAGCCAGAATAGAGGGAAGAAAACAAGGGAATTCATGCCAAAGGGATGAAATGGCAGGTGAAGCGAGAGGAAATTGCAAGCAGGTCATTGTGGCTGGAGTTCCAAGAGCAAGGCAGTGAGTGAGCAGTGGGCAACCAGGCGTGCCCTGGGTGGTAACCAGAGGTTGCAATTTCTTCTTCTTTTCTTTTTTTATTTCAGAGAGGAAGGGAGAGGGAAAGAGAGGCAGAAACATCAATAATAAGAGAGAATCATTGAACAGCTGCCCAGGAGGTTGTGATTTCTGTTTAAGGTGATGTATGTGGGCAAGGTGCTTTAGGGGATAGAATGATACACAGGACCGTGGTCCACAAAAGGTGGGAAAAGACATGAAAACAAAATTGTCTAAAGTGAAAAAACACACAAAACCACCATCAGGTCAATCCATAGCTAATGCTTTTTGCAATCTTGGGTTTCCTCGACCTGACGACGACTTCCTTCGAGATGTGGTTACAGTCATCACTCGGAAAAGAAGGATGAAGTTTAGACGGGTGCAAACTTAGACACAGTGCAACCACCAGGCAGGAATTGAATGGAGACTTTTTGAAACTCTGCTCTCTGATGGGGTGGGCCTATTAGTGTCAAGTGGCCACTTTCATTTTAGGGGCAGATAAACACAGCATGGCTCAAAAATTAACCTGCCGCTACTGTGTAGAGATTACTGAAGTAAGAAGGTATTTGGGAAAATTCTAGTAGGAATGACTGTTTATGAATTTGTAAAACTAGAGAAATATTGTTCCCTTAATTTGTCTACTACACCCCACTTAAGCTCTTCAGCCTTAACTGGTGCTGAGTACAGGTGTCCTGAAACATTTAAAAGCAAAAAGATAGATACACAGTAATAGGGAGAATAAAAAGGAAAACATCCTTTCAAGTTTTAACTTCAAATGCCAAAACTGTAATTTTCAGTCTACCAAAAAGGTAACATTTCACACTCTTAATTAAATGTATCATGTTACCTAGAATATGAACACACAAAAATTCTATATGCCTAAAAATTGACTGCATTTTACCTACCTATCTTTCCAAAGTGTCTGTGTGCTGCAGACTAAGGGAACATGGGCGGAATGTAAACTACATGCTTCAGAAACAGAGGCCCGCTATTGTCAGAGCGAAGAACAATGGTGAACAGTGATTCTTTGGGAAAATGGCTTCCCTCTTAATTTCTCGGTGTGTAAAAAGGGATTAATACATATATTCAGACTAATAAAAAATGTTTTTTAAAAGGTAAGTGCAATAGATAAACACTATGTCAATTTTAAACATTCTTCCTAATGCCCACCTTCCAGATCAGTAAAAGCAACTCAAAATTGTTCTTTTGGAAAAAAATGGGTAACCAATTAGAAAAATTCTTCAAGAATACAATTGATTATTTTCTTAACAATGACTTGCAATTTTAAAAATAAAGACACTTATGATTATTTAGCAAATATTACCAGCATGCTTTCTTGCTCGAATCTGGCCTCCCCAAATTGTTTCTATTTTACATTTCCAACACATATAATTTTT